AACTAAAAATAAAATAAATACATGAAAGAATAAGCAATTATATTTACTTAGCTCTTTTTGTTTTAACCATTGGTAGGTCACCATATAATAAAATTAATAACGAGAACGAGCGCACTTATATTTTTATTGTGCTTGTCAAAAAGATGGCTGTAAGAGTGATGCATTTTTAATATGAGTTTGGTCTGCATGCACATCCTGTTTTTATTTTTTTTTTGTGTGACACAACTTTATCAAGAGGTCAATCAAAGTCCTTTCAACCACATCCTTAGGCATATCATTTTCGTTCTGTACCACGAGAACATTTCATTACTTTTAAAACCCTTTATTATGTTCTACCATTTGAACTTCTGTGAGTCAATGCAATCCTCTAAGCAACAGAACGTGCATTATCTACCTTGAAATATCAGTTTCAAAATCGTTCTGATGGCACACTGACTTCTAATAAGGCAAATGGCTTGTTTCTTTTCCACTATCCTTCCAAATGTCTGTTCTGGGAGTACGTAAGTTTGGTGACCGTGTATGAAATTCCGAGAAAAAGGAGAATTGCTTTACGGCAAAACCAAATGCACGTCTACAACTATCCACTGTAATTACGACAGTGTATTCCACTCACATAAGGGGGATCCAAAGTTGCAAAAATACACAGAACTACATAGAGTTGCTTTAAATTGCAGTCTATGAGGTATTCTATCACCTGCAAAGAAGGTCATGAGCATGGCCACCCATCCCAGTATGCAGGACCAGGAGAAGCGCCAGTCTCCGAAACGCTTGCCCAGGAAGCTTAGGGTTACACCAGTGTAGATCGCCATAGCCAGCAGCACAAACAGAGCTGGGTGTGAAAAAAGTGATGGATTAAAAATGGACAGAGGAAACGTAGTGCCATCTATATTTTTGACTTTGAGAACAGTTTTTATTTATATTTAAATATGCTAAAATTCCACATTCTACAGCTCATTTTGCATGTTTGTGACTCACTGGAGATGAAAAGCATGATTCCTGCTGCAAAGGAATGACTGAATCTCTCAAAGGCAGAAAAATGGGCAAATGAGAGGATGCCTGCCATGATGCCCGCAAAGCACGCCATTCCCGATAGGATCATGAATGCCCGTGTGGCATTCCAGTATGCTGGGGAAAGAGACAAGAAACGTTCATAAAACAACAGTCAGGAAGGTTATGTTCATTCTCCTCTCATCCCAGCCAATTCTTATCACTGTTTGTCTGATTTTTCTCATTTGATCTTTGAAGAACTGTCCCTGCAGAATCACCTTGAACGAACCAGAGTACAGCTCCTGTAATCTCAGATGCCAGGGGTACAACTTTGGGAGCACCTGTTCAGAATATGACTGTGCAAGGCTCAGACAACTCAAACCAGAGTATGGAGCTCTGTACGGCAAAAAGAATAAAGCACTGCCATCTACAGGCAAAAATGGTCTAAAAGCTCAAATGCAGGTGCCAGATTTATTGTATAATGATGTTAGTTAGGGACTCTACATCTGACTTTTAACTTCACATTGATTTAAAATAGCCATGAAAAATGCATATTATAGACACATAAAATATGTTTCTGGAGTTTGCATGAAGACATTTGCTTACCTATACTTGCTGTCTGAATGTAGCATTTGTTGGCCATGCAGTACCTCCACAGGCCCTGGTGGGCATAGCTGCCTGAGAGGCGATACTGCATCCAATAGTCTGTCGCTGTGGAAACCACTATCAGGATGTTCCCAATAATGGCACAGAACAGGGCACCGCCCATAAAGCTGTACATCCTGACACACGCTGTGACTATGCAGGAAGGAGATATGCACTAAACAGATAGGAGAGACGTTTTAATTGTACACACACAGATGCTTATGCGCAAACATTCATAAATGGGACATAAAAAAGACTTCTTCAATTAAAACAAAAATATAAATAAAACATATAAAATCAAAAAAAAATTCTCTTCAAACCAACATTTGGCTAAAAGGATGATTAAATATGAACATGTATTAATATTAGTATATCAAAATAACTTTTTTTAAGTTACTCAATTTAAACACAAAAAGCATTTGCGCATACATGTTTCAAAAATAAATTTGCAGAAAAGCATTACGAATTTGGTAGCAATATCTACTTTTTAACCATATTCCTCAAACTTCACAATTGCAGATTTCTTTACACTTACATTAATCATTTTATTTATCATGTATCATGTAGTGTGAGATATACACTAAACAGATAGGAGGAAACAAACTCTTAAACTAATACATAAAAAATATAAATAATAATTAAAAAAAAAAATCAAACTGGTTTTCTCGTCAAACTATGGCTGAATAAAAATGTCCCCATCTTTTAACAACATTTGTTAAACAAAATTAAAATTATATAAAATTAAATTAAATAACACAAAAAAAATTAGTTTCTCGATTTAAACACAGAAGCATTTGAGCATTTTTTAAATACATTTCCAAAACAGCATTATGAATTTTGTATTATAAGCAATATCTACTCTTTAAAAACATTTCTCAAGCTTTAAAATAATAGATTTCTTAATAGTTGCATAATTCATTTCATTTATCAAATTTCTTCACACAAGAAGCTTAAAAATATGGATGTTACAGCTTTTTCTGTATACTTCAATATATTGCAATTGAGAAATTGTCTTACTTAAACATCAGAACTATTTTTGATATTCCAGGTTAGATAAAACATTTCTGTAATGTATGTAATGGGCATTCTTATTGTAAAATAACTATCAGTTCCATTCACACTGCATTGACGTTTCAATCAATGAATCGAATATTAAGAATTACAGATAAACAAAAAACATAAAAGTTTTTCATCGCTTACCTTATTGCTTCTGAGGCAAATCCCTCTTTGCTTATCCTCTGGGGAAAGAGGGTGTGAGAGAGTGGAGAGGGAGAGAGATATTAAGAGGCAAAAGAGAAAAAGACAACCTCTGTTGTCCTTTTTTGTTGATGGTGGCAAAATCCTTTAAATGCTACCTCCTCTGTCCCTGAAACAAATACACTTGAACTGGTTAGGGCAGGGGCCCTGGTGTGTCCGACTTTTCACTATGTGTATGCATGATGTCAATGGTCCTCCTTTTGTTTGAAGAGTAGACTGTTCTGTAGCTGCACATATTCAAAGGAATGCTTTGGTAAAGCTGTCAATGCAAAATGCTGAGTTGCATGCTTGCTTTGACAGGGGCCACAGTATGGATACCCATGGCATACCTATAGTTTAAAGTGCAATAAACTCAATGTTTCCCATTCCCAAATCAAATGACTGAATCAATTTTTCAATATAGTTCAACCACGAGGGAAAATTGCATCTGTAAATATGTGAATGAATCAAGTCAATGCTTATGAACAAGCTTTTTATAGAGAGCCCATAGGAATGCATGTGACTTATTTGATGTGCCAAAAACAGGTTAACTGTATGATTGACAATGACAGCGGTTTAATCAAATCACATGACTTTATTTTTACAGATTACATTACTGTATACAATATACTGTTTAGTGAAATTCCTGCTTTACAACAAAGCAAGCAGTAATACCTCAACAATGCTACAAAATATCCATCCACCCATTTTCTACACCCTCTTATGGAGTGCTGGAGCAAAAGAAGTCCACATATTAAATATTTATAAAGAACACATATATACAATAAACAGAATTAAAACACCTGTTAACAATAAAGACACTGAATAACTGCATGGTCAACAGGACAGTTACCACTCTCTTCAGTTATTCTCCAAAAGCACTAGACACTTGCATTTTAAGAAACCTTTATGCTGTACTACAAATGTCAGGTTAAATAAAACCTTTAATCTTTTATTTTGGGTGTTTCAGTGAATGCTGAATGAAAATTATAAGAAATAACAGAAAAAGCTTGTAGGGAAGAGTTCTAGTGACAATCAGTTTAAAGTATCTTTGTGGTGATGTTTTGCCAAACATGTCTAAAACTACTTGGATTTGTCCTCCCATAAACATCAGATTTATATTAAGTAACTGGCCACCACATAATTTTCCACATTATTTTAATTCAGAAAAGATGGAACCCTTGAGGTATGAGCTGGAACAGCAAAGACTGCATGTATAAATTCATCTTTCCATGTTGTCAAATGTCTTTGGCTTCAGCTGTTCATTTACTATTATGGTATTTTTAACTATTAATCACGTTAACTTCTCAAACTACGTATATAAAAAAATACTGCGTAATTTTTTATTAAATTATTTTTTTTTATTAACTTTATTAAATAAAATAATTATGACATGACTCAAAAAAAAATGTATTTGGTGTTGATTTCAACAGCTCAATTTGCCATACAGCACAGTCTCGTGGCTACAGCAGTGCAAGCTCAGGAAAATAGAGTAGTACTGTTAAGAAAACAACGCTTTTAAAAAATTCATGTTTATTCATGAAAACTTGTTACGCGTGTATATCGAGTAAACAATTCTGAGCATTTATGTAAATTATGTTAGCCAGTTTATTCACATTAGAGCTTAACAAATGTCTATTTCCTATCCACCATTCGTGTCATGTGGTTTGACCAAAAACCCGGATTGGATCGCGGGGTCACCTGAGAAAAATCACCAGTCGTTATATTCGTTATTCGTCGTGCTGATGTGACCAAGGAAAAATCGTATATTTTGTGCACGTTATATGTTTTGAATTTACACACGACCAGGTTCTAAATCGTGGCGAAAACACAAGGTAAGTTTTCAAGTTCACTTATTTATGAAATGAGATTTCGAAGCATCATGCCATGCATCATAAAACTCGCGAGGCTGTAATAGCGACAGGCTAGTTAGATCTAATTTGAACTTCAATTCCCAGTTTTAGCGTTGAAAGTCTATCGCACTCCTTATTTGTTCTGTTTCTACCCTGTACCTGCGAAATGCAAGTTCTTTCAGAATACGTACACAACCATGGACGTGTTGTTATATCTATCAACCAAAAATATTTTATTGTTCCTTTATTTCAACCTAAACCGCACTTTGTTTAAAATAAGGACTCCACTCCATATCTTATTAACGGCAGCGCTATAATGTGGCTGCTTGCTGATGGATACGTGAAGATCGATAGCAAAGCAATACAGCGCGGTTCCGAAATCTCCGAAACGAGATTTTAAAGTTCCAAACACCTGTAAATAAGCCCAGTGTTAACGTGGGAGCAAAAAGTCTGAAAAGAAGCGACTCAACAGGTCGAGAACTCGTCTAGACAGAAGGGCAGGAGTGAGTAACATACGCAACAAAGCCGCGCAGTGAGCGCAACAACAACCGGTACACCTTCCTTCTTCCTCCACAGCGGTCTCCATTTTAACTCCTCGCCCAGCCTGCACCTCACGTGTCCTGGACTGTCTTTCTCACATGACCCGTGTGTTTGTCCCCGTGATCAGCGCTTCCATCTCCCGTATTTCAAGTGTCGCTGAATATCGCATTTTAAAATCCGCTCGCCTTCATGGATATGCTCGATCAGAGCTTGGACACCTCGACGAGGTGAGAGCGCGTCCTTTGTACTGCCAACCTCAAGGCCCCAGTCAACCATTTTCTGCTGTTTTCATAGTAGGACAGTTAGCAATCCTCTTTTAAGTTTATTTTTTGAATTTTATTAAGTTTTATGCATGCCATTAATATAGTAAGTTAAACGTAAGATACGAAAAGCACGAAGAAAAACAACAGATCGCAATCGTTTTTACATCGATGGTCGACATATTTATATCACTATTAGCCCGATTGCTAATTTGGTGATTTTTGCCTATCCTTGGTATTTGAAGAAAACACAACTCCAAGCCGGTGTATGTTTGCTTTTAACAATAGTCTTCAAAATTTATCTTTTCTAAAAAATGAAAGACATTTTAACTGATATTTCAAGTAGAAATGTCGTGTGTAAGTTAGTACTGTCGGAACAAAAGCTCTCCAGCAGTTTAATGCATTAAACTCCCTTCAACCTGCAACCAAACCGCAGCCTTTTCATCCAGAGGCTTTATATGCATTCAGAAGTTTTTGTTTATTTAATCCCGTGGTGTTTATTTGGCTATATATATA